GCTCGCTGACGTTTTTCTTCAGCCTCGTCAATCTTTTCCTCCACACGCAACCATCGGACGTCTGTGTCGTCGTAGCCACGGGAGCGAAGCTTAACCAGCTTTTCGTTGAGTTCGGCTATCCGCCAACGTAAAGATTCCTCCTCCTCGATAGACTTAGCAAGCAAAGAGTGAGGATCCTTGGCAGCACGGCGATTCTTCGGAGACATTTTAGCGTGAGGGTAGAGTAGCAAGTGGCAGAAGAAGCAGGTTGTAGAAGTGGTGAGACGTGGTGATGGAGACCGAAGCTGAGCAAAGAAATGGAGGGATCGTCCTGCACCGAACAAATCGAAAACCACCTGCAGAAGCGCACGTATCCCGGAGGGCTCAGCGGGCAGCTATGGCCGAACTTCTCCTCCCTCTCTCTCTCTCTCTCTCTCTCTCTCTCTCTCTCTCTCTCTCTCTCTCTCTCTCTCTCTCTCTCTCTCTCTCTCTCTCTCTCGTCTGTGTATGACTGGCGCCGTTCCAACAGCGCAGGTACTCGGCCAACACCGCGACTACAGCCTCCTTCGTCCGCCAACACTGCGACTACAGCGTCCCTCCTCGGCCAACACTGCGACTACAGCGTCCCTCCTCGGCCTCACGTCCGGCGCGGAAATGTGCGAAGGGTGCAGGACACCGAATGAGCAACCAGCCCAGGTCAACACTTAAATAGTGCTGCACTGGGCGAGCATCTGGTCACAATGTACCTGGGACCGCATGCCCACTTCCTGTCGGACCGAAATGTGAGCAGCAGTACGTCGGGCCAGGATGTTGGACTTCTGCTGTGACTTGACCAATGGGACTGATACTTAACTGGGCCYTTGACMTTTGACTATGAGATTCRAGGAAGTGACCGTCAGTCAGCCTCGATTTTGACTGTTCGCTTAGTTCCTCGATGTGACTTTTGCAGAACGACTTTCGATTTTAGTCCGGACACGACATTTGCCCAGGGAAGCTGTCTGGCGTTGGGCCCTTATTTCGCAACTTCAAGCTCTGGGCGACCGGGCCTCTTGGCGTTGGGCCCTTATTTCGGAGCCCGAATTTTAAAAGCTCTTGTACCTCCCTCGATCTGGGAGAAGCGTTCCCATAACATGGAACGGGTGGACTCGGGCATTCGAAGAGCCAAGGGGGTCCACAAAACCRACGATGACAAACACCCTTGGGACCCCGAAAGTAAGACACGCAGCCCAGCAAGAAAAACGAAGGACAAAGCGACTCCCCTGATTCACTTGGCACAGGCCACAACTCAGAAGATGGAAAAAAAAATTAAAAAAATTGAAATGGCCGAAGGAAAAGAGCGGCGAGAAATTGACTCGGATACAGGAAAACCCATGGCCTGGATTCACCTAAGAGAAAAAAAAAAAAAAAAGTCGAGCATTCCGATTCGACTAAACGAAACGGGTGCGGGACTTAAAATCCGCGGACCACCCCATCCCCACCCGTGACCAACACCAAGAAACCCCACGCAGCAGCCGACCGCGAAAGCAGACCGGTTAACGGAACCACAGAAAACCCACGGAGCAGTGGAACAACGAAGCAGGAAAACGTCACTTCAAACAACTCACTCGAGAGGTTTTAGCCCGAGCACGATTTTACACACATCTCTCCCGGGTCTCTTTAGGCCGGACGACCAACCCGAGAGAGCCAGCATATGGTCTTAAACGAAATCAATGGTGGGGAAAGCTAACAGGCGGCGCAACCACGTCGCCCAGTCGCAAAAAAAAAAAAAAAAAAAAAAAAAAAAAAAAAAAAAAAAA